TTGAACCTTCACTCTTGAGTAAGAGCTCTGGTGTTGATCTTCTGCATGAGAGCTCTTAGTCCAGACCGCTTCAAATAGACTAAGTCATATTCGACTAGAGTAAGAGACTTCTTACTTACACTTTCACAAGTTGGGGTCTAACAAAACTTCTATTATAAATCTTTTTGAGGCATTGATATCCCAATCCTTTCTCTAAATACGTCAAAATTAAGTTTGTCAAAAGGTACTAAGTGTTGACAAATCTGTGTCATCAATTTGTTTGTCAAAAGGTATTGTACCAAAAAAAATCATCCTAGCATCTGTTATATGAGAAAAATATATGTACCAAGAAAAATATAAGACATGAAATATATGTACCAACACATTTGATATATGAGAAAAATATATGGTGGTGTGTACGGTTGGTGGTGTATACGACTTGATATGGTTGGATGCTAGTGACGATGGTGGAAGATGGGAGCGGCTAGTTCTCGATGGCAGCAGTTGGTGTATGGTTTGAAAGAAGAAGACGACCACTGGAGGGGGTGAAGATGGTGGTGTGTACGGCTGATGGTGTGTACGACAATGGTGGTGTGTGCGACGATAATGGTTCTCAATGGGAGCAGCTAGCTGGTTCTTGATGGCAGCGGTTGGTGTATGGTTTGAAGGAGGAAGACGAAGAATAGGGTTTTAGTATTAAGGTTTTTACTTTTTTTTAACCTGATCATTAAAAGGGGAGGGGAAATTAAACCGGGAAACTGAAAGGGGGTGTCAATTCACGAATTTTTTTTTACTTAGGCAACAAATTTACTTCAAGTTTTAAAAAATTTAGAATTTAACTTCAAATTTTAAAAATTTTAAAAATTTAGAATTTAACTTCAAATTTTAAATTTTTTACAACTTCAAACTTAGAACTCTAGATTTTTGAATCAAAATTTTATTATTTTTACTAATTATGTTGAGGGCCACGTGATAGTATCGCTAGTTCCTGTTGTACATTATGTTGTTCATCTGCCATCTGCATGATAAAATATATGAATGGTTAGAAAAAACGTATAACCCAAGTTTTGAAAGTCTTCAAACATGATAAAATTTATAACCCAAGTTTTGAAAGTCTGATGGAATGTCGCGGTACGATGCTCGAAGCAACCTTCCGGGTAGTGTATTACATAAAGTTCATTGAACTTATTAATATCTGGTTGTGCTTCCGTACGATTAACAATAACCATCTAATGAGCTGTTTCCATTTCTTCTCTAGTCAAAGTGGCATTCCAGAGACGACTATTCGGGATAACATAATCAGACACGACTGAGAGGCTCCATCGAGATGAATCTGACATCAAAGTGTTGTTATGTACGACTGGTACGACATTCAAATAAAGATTCATGAATGTCACACACTCATGCATGAGGTACCTTCTGCAATACAACCCTCGGGGTAATATGTGTTTGTTACATGTTTCTCGTACTCTCCAAGTTGCCTGAAAATGAGATCATTAATTAATATAATTCAATATATTTAATTATCAATATCAATAGTGTGCACATACTTCTTAGGAAACATCCAAGTGTAATGCATATGATCGTTTAGGAAGACTTGTTCAGGAAGATGGATGCAGAGATGTACCATGATTGTGAAGAAAACTGGAGGGAATATTGCCTCTAACTTGCATAAAATCAAAATAATGTGCATCTGTTCAACATCCGACTTCTTCAACTCTCAAGCACACATCATCAGAAAGAATCTAGATAAGTCACAAATTGCATCAACGACATGATTGGCCACGCATGGTCGTATGACCCGGGAAGAATGCGCTGAAGCAACACGTGACAGTCATGAGTCTTCGAACCATAAAACTTCTTGTTTGTGGAGCTTGTTGAAACTCATCCTTTCCATTAAAATTTCTCCCTTGAATTCAAAATTCATGATTTATATCTAACCATCTACGTGTCCCTATATACGACATCCTACCATGAGAGAACATAGCATCAGTGTCATCCAAACATATGAGACAGGCCTTGTACCCTTTTGTCTGAATACCACCTAACATTCCCAACCCCAAAATTCACTAATAGTCCACATCACTGCAATTTTCATCATAAAGTACTCTTCCATGTATCAATCCTATGTCTTAAAACCAGTCTCCCAAAGAATTTTGAGTTTGTCAATCAATGGCCTCATAAACACATTGAGACATTTCCCTAGAGATTTTGGTCCGGATATCAACATCGTTAGTATATTAAATTCCTTTTGCATGCACATTGAAGGAGGTAAGTTGTATGAAATCACAACAATTGGCCAAAGGCTATAGGGAGTAGCAAAAGCCCCGAAAGGACTAAACCCATTAGTCGATAAGGCGAGGCGAACATTTCTGAAGTCACTCACAAATTGAGGATATGACCTATTATATTTCAAGGAGTACAAATCTATTAAAAACATTTACTTGTCAAAAAATACAACCATATTAAAAGCATTTACGTGTTAAACAAGTATATTAAAAACATTTACCTATCAAAATCTTTCAATGCTTCACCATCAGCTGGGTGTCTCAATACATCATCGTACAAGGACGTTTCCCTTTGACGATGCCATCTCATATGATCTGCAATATACCAGAGCTATTATGTTTTTTTAGCTTAGGCAACATAAAAACAAGAATATATGTTGCCTAAGTATATTGTGATGGATCTACAGTACAATGCAACTTGTCAACCTTAAAAACATCAATTTATCTTAGGCAACATAGAAACAAGAATATATGTTGCCTAAGTAAATTGTGATAGATTTATTTTTTTACTTAGGCAACATAGAAACAAGAATATATGTTGCCTAAATAAACTGTAATGGATTTACCTATTTTACCTAAGACAACATAGCAACAAGAATATATGTTGACAGGAATTTACAATTTTTACCTTAGGCAACATAGAAACATGAATATATATTGCCTAAGTAATTAAGTTGGATTTATGTTTTTTTTTACCTTAGGCAATATAAAAACAAGAATATATGTTACCTAAGTAAACTTTGACGAATTTCAAAAAAAAAGTGACCATCATTAAACTAAGGTAAGGGAGGCTAATTTGTTGCCTAAGATACATGCAAGCAACATAGAATCATGTATATGTTGCCTAAGAAGGTCACACTTAGGCAACATAGAATCATGATTTGCCTAAGAGAAAACTTAGGCAATATATAATAGCCTTATTGTCTTAGCTTATGTTAAGCAATATAGGCAATTTACATTTGTTGTCTAAGACAACATTTGATGTAGTGAATTTGTTAAAAAGAAAATGTATTTTTAACGTATTTTAGTTAATATACAGTTATACATGATGATATGATAAATATGTAAAATGAAAAATATAAAAGCAAATGATATAAATTAAGTTAATTAAGTAATTATAGGGGTGTAAATTAATTGTAATTTTAAATTTAAGAGTTACCAAGTTTGATCAAGTTGTATTGTTTGCGAGTGTAGTGGGGGATACGAGGTGGGGTATTATGAATGTATATAGGAGGGTATGTTTAGCAACCATTTTTCAATACTATAAACTTGATTATGTTTTTAAGATTAAGACAAATTAAAATTAACATTTATGTTATAATTAACTAATTTTTTAATATGTCATTTGGTCATTTTACGTTTTTCATTTAGCTTATCAGCTAGTTTTTGCTAAATTTGATTTCTTTATCAACTACTTTTTAATTTTCAGTTAACTTATCAACTATCAACTAATTTATCAGTTAATTTACAATGTATATTTTGTTGGCCAAGGTAACAATACAACTATATTTCTTGTTATTTGGAACCACAAATATTAATCCTCATTCTTGTACTTCTCTTTCAGCCTTCTCTTTCTGATACTATTTATATTTAGGGGCTGTTTACCTAAACTCTTACTCAATAAGCATTTACCGGTAAAATTCAACACTATTATTTCATTAACGAGTAAATTTTTATTCACTAAAACACATCGTATGCAATAATTTATCCCGGTAAGCGCTAACCATGGTAAGGTCACTACAACAAAACTAGGTTTATAGGACACCCCAATCTCTAAGCATCCCAATAGACCGCTTTGTAGGACTTAATTTACAGGACCAAAATATAAAACGTTCTATCTAACGATGTTGTAATAAGTTTATATGACGCTTTTGGACGTCTTAACAAGTTTTTTAGAACATTTTTAATACAAAGTGTCGAATTAGCAACTTTATAGTACATTTTTTAGAAAGTGTCCTATAAACTCAATTTTTTTATAGGACAGTTTTTCAAATAGTGTCCTATAAAGTTGTTAATGAGACGCTTTATATTAAAAGTGTCCTAAAAAACTTATTACGACGTCAAAAAAGTCGTATAAACTTATTATAACACCTTTAGATATGACGCTTTATTTTTTTTGTTCTATAAACTAAGTTTTATAAAGAGGTCTATTAGGACGCTTAGAAATTGGGAGTGTTCTATAAACCCGATTTTGTTGTAGTAAGTCCTCGTCCTCCCTTATCGGGTAAGACTCTCGATTTTGTCTTCGCTATTATCGGGTAAGATTCTTTGTCCTTGTCATATTCATTCGGTAAAACAAAGTAACTTGATAAGCACTACTTACCAGGTAAGCGTTTGGTAAACGATACTTAGAGTTAATTTGTTTATATTTCTGTTAATATTTATATTTGGTGACAACACTCCATAAATTTTCTGGATCAGTCTTTGCTATATTTATCCTTATCTTTTCACTGTTAAGCTTACCAAAATATTCATATAATAAAAACACACACATGTTTTTCATGATTAATTAAATATATTTTTTTAAAGCAAAACAAGTTTGATATCAAACGTTTACTCATGAACAACCAGCAACGTTTCAAGTGTTTACGTTATGCCATCCTTTTTTCAATGTTCACCATGATCGATGCCTAATTTAACGAATTCCCTTGACTTCTTTCTCTTAGTCGACTTTTTGGGGTCATAACTACTATAAATGTAAAGTTTCATGATTCGGTTCAAGCAAAGAGAAAGATGACACCCGATTCGATTTTGAATGGCGATTTCAGCGAGAAACGATGGGTGGATCAAATCAGCAAGAATTTCGATAACGAGGTTTGCAATGAGGTTCCGGTTTGCGTGTTTAGTGTTCCAGAATCCATAAGCCATTTCAAGCCTGAGGCTTATGTACCTCTGGTTATAGCACTGGGACCTTATCACCATTTCCAGACTCATCTCTACCAAATGGAAAGGTATAAGGTTGCAGCTATTAAAGCACTTCTGAACCTGGATCAAGTCTTATCCTTTGAGTCCTTGGTGATTCATAGACTCAAAGAGAAAGACCCCATGATTCGTACTTGTTACCACAAGTATATGAACCTTGATGACGACACACTGGCTTGGATTATTGCCATTGACGGCTTGTTCTTGCTTGGTCTCTTCATGCACTATGGTGAGATTGCACCCCTGATGCCTAAAAAGTTGATAAACAATGGTGTACTCTATAGAGATGTCATGGTGCTTGAGAACCAGATTCCACTGTGTTTACTGAATGAAATATGGAAGAGCCTCTTTCTCTCGTCCACTGTTCATGATGACAATGGTGATCGTCAGTTACTCTCCATGTTAAAAGAGTTCTGTGAGGTACACTCTCCTCTCAAATTGGCATCAGATTCGAATCATGGTGCCGAAACGAACTATTTGCATTTGCTTGATCTTATGTACCATTTGATTATCAACAATCAAGCAACTATAGAACATGAAGACGTGGAAGATATGGCAAAAGAAGATAACTTAACCGAAAACTCTGATCGTCCTATGAAGGTCATAAAGAACATACCTTGGGAGAAAATATCGAATTTGCTAGGTCTAAAGATATGGGACGATGACAAAGAAGAAGATGATCCATCTCGCATCATGGAAATCGAAATACCTTCGGTGTCATCTCTTATCAAATACGGTCGAATCAACTTCAGCCATATGATCGGAGGGATTAGGGAAATTAAGTTTGAGGAAAGTGAAGCCACTTTATACCTTCCCGTGATTACTCTTAACGGTTACACAGAAGTCGTGTTGAGAAATCTGATTGCTTACGAAATGGCAACGTCAAGCTCAACACCAGAATTGGCGCAATACGTCAACTTAATGAGCGGCATTGTTGATACAGAGGTGGATGTGAAGTTACTGAGGGCTAAGGGTATAATTGAAGGAAATATGAATGACAAAGAAATTGCGAATCTCTTCAATGGGATGAATAAGTACAAAGGGCGCACTAACAAGACGATTGAACAACTCAACGACTATTACAACAATAGGCCTGGGATCAAGGCATGGCGGTTCATGAAGAAAGACCTTCTTCGCTCGCAAAAAGTTGCAACAATTGTTGTGACGGTTTTTATATGCTTGTTGATGATTCTATACTCGTTCTGTGAAGTTTATGGTTGTCCAAGACTCCTCGACCGGACATAATTTAAGTAGTATGCAACATGTCAACGATAGAATTCCTTAATGTGCATATTGTGTAACGTTGGTTTTTATCTTTAATTTGTGTAGTATGTAGCAATATACAAGTTTTATGTATGTGAAGTTACTCTTGGTCTATTTCGAGTTGTATTCTTAAGTTTTCGAAGTTTGTTCTAATTTCAAAATTTCATTACATGAAGTATAGTGTTAACGGTAAAGAGTAAAAGGGAATCAAGAGATCGAAATACATAAGTGCAAGTAGTTCATCGTTCTTCAAATATCATGATCTACTGTTATATTCGATAACTTGACTTTTCCAAAGATTAATGGTTTAAACCTCATCAAAAATACGAAATACAAATTTGTCAAATATAAGTATTATATATTTAAAAATAATAACAATAAACCATTTTTCATTTGAAACACTGATTTTAGTTTGTTTCTGTCTTTACCAATTTTATAAAACAATGCTTCAAGTTTGACTTGAACAAAATCTTCATGGAGGTTGCATGGCACAATTTATATGAATCGTAACAAAATGGTCAACAATATAATAAAATGTTACAATAAATTTATGCAGATCATTTTGCGGATGTAACAAATACAAAATCTAAAATAACGATAATTAACATAAGTGGTCAAACTGGCACCAAAGGTTTACAATTAATCAGATTCCCCAATTACAATTCAAAGATTCGCAACGGAAAATAATGTTTAGTTCATATATCAATCACACGGGTTCATATGTGAATTAGTTAAAATAGTTCATATGTGAATTACACGAGTTCAGATATGAACATAGCTTCATATATGAACCCGTTTGCCGTCTATTTGTAAAAGGTACAAAACTATCCTCTCTATTTTTTACATAGCCGCAATTATTAAACAGTCACATCCAATCTTGATTGTATGAAGGGCTAAGATCACTTCTTTACTTCTCAAATATTTACCACTTCTCAAAATAACATTTGACTATATATATATATATATATATATATATATATATATATACACACACACACACAATATGTGCTTAACTCTTTGAGAACTCTAAAACTTTTGAGATCCGTAAGGTCCATTCTCAACCACCAATTTAAGATAGTTAATGCTATTTTGAGATAATTATATGGAAGTTTTTTATATAATCTATGAACATGTTGGAAAGCTATTGGAAAGTTAGAAATAACATCATTTTGGTAACTTACTAGGATTTCAAAACAGTTCATGAAGGAAGTGAACAAGTATAAACATATCCTTGAATTTGTATTTTGGTTTTTTAATGAACAAAAGAGTGTATTTGATAACCTACTATGATTTCAAAATTGTTCATTGATGAACATCATTCACTTAGGAACACATTTAATGCTTCACCTATTGATACATTCATTGTTTCACCTTTGAACATCATTGTTGTTTCACTATTTTTCATTTTCATTTATGAATACATTTACTGTTTCATCTATGAACACATGATTTTGCTATTCTGATCTACTTATGAACACATTACATTCATTGTGAACTTCTGATTTTGCTTATAAACACATTAGTTTCATTATGAACACATTAATTTCATTATGAGCACATGATTGAGCTTATGGACACATTCTTATGAACATATTAGTTAACAAACTTAAAATAGATGATATGATTAAAATCCCTAAAAGCATGCAACTGTTTAATGTAACAGTCCATTAAATACACTAAAAGAAAACAAAAATTGAAACTTACATATATACCCTTAATTATTGATTCCAACATGTGAATTAATCAAAGCTATAGATGGTTTCTAATAAGGGTGTTCAAAAAAACCATTGGACCGCTCAAACCGGCCAAACCAACTTTTTTTGGACAGTTTGGACCAAACCAACCGCCAAATACATACATACACACACACACACACATATATATATATATATATATATATATTAGCAAACCTAACTTTTTTAACTTATGTACCATTGCCCAAATATATCCCTAAGCCCAACATAAAGCTTAACATCTAACATAATCAAATCCAAATGAATCGACGCCTAAAAATCCATAAACCAGTAAACATATCGACAAATTTGATATAGATAATCCCCGAAATTTAAAATTCCTCAAGAACTGTATCAATCTATCGATCTTTCCTAATCTGTGGTTTGATTTGGAGCGCATCATCAAGACATCAACAAAGTGATTCAACTCTTTCCTTCAACTTTTTCGATTCCAAACTCAATTTGTTCAAGTGATCGGTCATTGGCGCACATCATCAGGTCTCCAAATCTGTCCTAGTCTCCAAATTCAGATTTGTGAGTCATATTTTATGAGCTATTTTTTTACATTAAGAAATTTCCTATATTGTTTTGTTAAAATAGATATTTATTCTAAAAATCTAAATAATATATGCTTTTTTAAGTTTAATATTTAAAGTCCATTAAAGGCCCAAACCGCATAAACCGGTCAGACCAAACCTCTTTTTCGTGGTCTGGTTTGACCGGTTTGGGCACTTGATGTCAAACTGCTCGGTTTAAAAATTTTATAAACCGTCATTACGATTTGGTTTGTGGTCTGAGAGGTTAAACCGCCCAAACCGGACAGCGAACACCCATAGTTTCTAATTGGTCCAAAGGAGTTTGTAAAGTTAACAACATTTGTTTGGTTAACAAATAATCCTCCCCCCCCCCCCCTTATTATATAGAAGTTTGTGATATAATTTATAAACATGTGTCAGGAGGTAGATACACAAATGAACAAGGGTAAATAGGTAAAATCGTTTAAAGTGTGATATTAGGAAACAAAGTGAACATACTGAATGTTACGGTAACACGAAAAGGAAGGTTATCGCTTTTGTTTTTCATGCAGCTCACAAATCTTTGAATCAACAGTTTAATTTGAGGTAAAAAATGGCAGTAAAGGACACATTTCACCCAAAATGGCAGACATTGGAGGCGGAAGCAGTTTAATTCGAGGTAAAAAAAATAGGGTTTATGTGTAATTTGTGCAATTAATATAACATTTTGATGAATCAACAAAAATCATATGATGAGGATGAAGGTACCATTTTAAACACAAGAAATGAAATCAAACTTGAAGAAGTACGTTTGATTTGTTCATTTATTGATTAGGGTTCATATATGAAAAATAGTGAAATTATTGAACATTTGTTGTGCTTTGGTAATTTGCTCTTTTTCTTTTCTTTTTTTGATTTTAATGAATAGGTTAGGAATATGATGATGGCCATTTTGGTTGACATTTCCTACAAATATGTTACATATGAATGTAAAGGCTTAATAATACAACTGATAAAGTGTTAATTAGTTTATGTGCAATTTGTTCAGATACTGAAGTTGTTTATGTGCAATCTATTAGAAATGATAAAGTTTAAACCTAATTAGGAAGTGTCATTGTTTGCATAAGTTCATGGTTAACAGGTTCACATATGAACATGTTACATGATTGTATCTGTTCACTTATGTGCTTCCACCTGAATTGAAAATGTTTACATCTGAACAAGTTCCATTTTTTAAATATGCACATATGCACATTTTTGAACTTATGAGATTATGTTGTTCATTTATGCAGAATGAGATTCTATTTACTTCTGAACATATGAGATTATGTTGCTCAAACTTATGCACAATGGGATTATGTTTACTTATGAACTTATGGATCATGTTTACTTGTAAACTTAATGGCATTCTGTTTAAAATATTCACATTTGGGACTATTTATTACTTATGCACATTTGAAAATGTCAAACTCATATGATTGCGTATGAAAGTTTTAAAGAGTCGATTATAAATATATGTGTTGATCCTCTCTCTCAGTGATTTGATGATAATCCCTTTTATCTTTCACGTTGTATTTGTGTTTCTGTATTTTCAGTTCCAGCGATCATCATTGAGTATGTTCAGTGATCGCTGAAGAACTTGTACTGTAAATCTATCAGAGACAGCTTTACTTCAAGAAAACAACACTCACATCACAGATCCTTCAGCGAACGTCGAAGACTGAAACTGAAGATTAGAGACTGGCAAGTACGTGATCTGAAGCGGTATTCAGTGATTACGAGCCCGTTTACAAATGTGTGAAGACTGCTCTAGCTTCAGCGAATGATGATGAGACCTCCAGGTCATTCCAGCATTCAGCGATCAAAGGAAGCTTGCTTAGCACGATTGTTGTTGTTTTGTCCTTATTCACACAAAGGACAAACTTATACCCTTACAAAAGTTAGTATGGTACGGAGCCGATTAGTCGACTCTTTGTCCACCAACTTTAGGTAAGGATGTCTGCTCAGAAATAGTGCTTTTGTACTATTCACTGTAGCAAAGGACAAGTCGTCCTTTTAAGGTTTGACACGCACTCTAAACCTACCATACTGCATTAAATGATCATTTGATGCACTGGGTATAAATAGAAGTTTTTCTTCTCCATGCAGAGAGCGCGCATCTCTCTCTAACCTTATTCTTACTTCAAGCATCTTCTAGCTTAAGTAAAGGATTCTCCTTTTAGCAATATCTTTTCTTGTATTTGCTAAAGCTCTGTGTGTAACCAAAGATTGTTTAGATAGGTTTTCATTACCTTATCTTTCCGCAAACAATCTTGTAAAATTTATATTGATCTTCTCTATCAATATATATTTTAAATTTAAAAATATTGTGTTTGTATTCATCTCCCCCTTCTACAAACTGTTTCACTCCAAGACCAAACATATTGAGATCCGATATCATTTTATCAGAGATCATGTTATGAATGGTGATATTGAACTTCACTTTGTTCCAACTGAGTATCAACTCGCTGACCTTTTCACCAAGCCTCTTGATGAGACAAGATTTAATATCTTGATCAGCGAATTGGGAATGTTGAACACTGAAGATTAACCTTCAGTCATTAAACATCACTCAGTAAGTGAAATGATTCAGTGTTCTATACTCAACACTGAACTCTTGAGTAAATGTATCTATTCTCTCAAGGTATGATTACTCTTCTTTTTTCTAAAACTTAAAACTTTCACTGAATATTCT